ATTGGACGTACTTTAAAATTTAATAAATGCATTTATAATATAAATTTAATTTAGTATTAATTTTATTAGTATTAGTTTTAGTATTAAAGTAATTAGTATTAGTATGTATATTACTATATATATAATATTGTATTTATTGAATCAATGTAAATTACATTTTAATGTATATTTTTTATAGATATAAGGTGTTACGTGATATATAAAAAAGTTATACGAAGATATATACGAAGAAGTTTATACTGCTTAAGCATAAAAGACATGAAAATCTTCAACCAATCGAAAGTTTCTCTCTTAGCAGAGTTAAATGGAGATATGCTAGCTTGAAAAGGGTACCAAGGAAGTTTCCAAGACGTCGATCTTACCAATGCACTTTGCGCATACCAGGTATGTACCATCTGCAATGTATATATATATATATATATATATATATATATATATATATATATATATATATATATATAAAAGACTGAAATAAGAGAATGTCAAGATCCACATGGTCGTTGGTATCTGTCTCAAATAAAAATGTATACGAATAAACTCTGAAATATTTGATCTTTAACTAAACTATTATTCTATCTGTGTTAACATATCGAATGACCAAAACGAATCTTCTCATTTAATTTCATTCTTTTAGCATTTTTAACACATCTGTAAAATATTTGGATGTATTTTTTAATGTAAATTGTACATTATTGTTACAGGTGCAAGACATATTATTGAAACAGACGGAAAATATATTTGATTCCCATCATATTTGAGAACTTACAAAAAGTTTCTTCGTACTAAGAGGACAATCATAAGACATCCATTGAATTTTTAACACACATCAGCGGCTAAAGGACAACGTACTACGTTTTACAGTGTTAAATTTTTATGTAAATTAAAATTTATCTATCTCAAAAATGAAAATTACAATAAAGAATTGTAAAAGAGAGTGTCTGTAAGAGATTAAAATGAATGAATTATACTTAAATAAAATGAAAAAATTTGTTAAGATTATTTCTATCTTGTAAAACCAATTCCTTAATAAAAAATCTCAACATTCATCAAAAAAATAATTGCAGAGTTGTAACATCTCAAGGTAAATAATATCTTATTAATTTTTATAAATTCTGTAGCTTAAATACCAGTTTTAAGACATTGCTTTAAGAACTGTTCGTGGCTCGGTGCTAGAGTCTCGGATTTGCATCCGCGGATC